GGTCCCAACCCAAAGACCAGGGGGTTGACCAGGGTTACTACTCTTGAGACCACAGATGCCAACCTTTGTGTCCCTAGTCCCATAAGACTGTGTCTAAAACACTTCTGAGTCTCTCTTTCTCCTCTCCTGGAGTGGCAAACAGCTGCTATGACAAACACTGGGTTTGTCACCATTCTGGATTTCCATTTTGTCCCATATCCCGGGCTGCTAACCCTTCACTTTGTCCTTTACTTGCTGTCCTCTGTAGGGAAATTGGTCTGAACTATCTAACCTAGCACTACTGGAAGCTGATAGTCAATAAATGTTAGTTCCCCCTCCTTTCCGTCTCATGCTCGAGCCTAGGTGATGTTACAGTTCATGCTAAACCAACCACAGCAGAATACAAGACATAGAAGAGAAGAAAAAGTGTTGAGACGCTTTGAAAGCATCTGGGCATTAAGACTAGGACAGGCAGGGTTGCATTCCTGGGCTAGCCCACCATCTTACTTTTGCTTCATGCTCCCTGTCCTTCCCAGAATGGCTTCCTTCCTCTCTCCCACCTATCTGAACTCTTTCAACCTGGGGATATCATGGACACTCTTCCAGATCAGAAAAATTCGAGCTGATGCTTTTCTATTACGGTATTTCCAGCAATGAATCCTGTACATGCTGCCAACCAGCCTGGCCACGTCCCAGATGCCTTCCCTGGTCACTGTGGACTACTTCACCCTCGTTCCCTGGAAACCTACTGCAGTAACCATTCACCACACCCTCTGTCCTTGTGGTTTGGTGTAAGTCTAATGCCCTCGATTCACCAGAGAATTCCTTGAGGCAAGGATCATGCCCCTCCTCAAGTCCCCCCTCTCAGAAAATACTTGTATTCACGTATTCTCTGAAAACCAAAGATGCCTGATTATGGGAGGGGAGTTTCCAAATCTCGGTATGATCATCCCCAAGTCTGAGATCGCAAGGCATTCAGCAGCGCTCTCCCATGTCTACACTGTCCCCTCCAAAGACCTGGGAAGATGGGGCATTCCACCATGTCCCCACACTCCAGTACCTCAGCTCCAGAGATCTAAGCCAGTCTCAGAGAAGAGCTCAGGTTAGGGCACTAACAAGCAGCCTTTGAGGATCCTGGAGGCCAGTTCCCACTCATTAAGTACCTTCAGGGAAGATTGCTTCTGCCTGGGGAAAGAGCTGTCTACACAGCATTACTGGGCTTAGGGGCAGGGGAGCATGATGTCTAGACATTCTTAACAACCCAAGAGGCCTCAGTCCCAGCACCTGCTCCTCATCCATATCTAATATGGAAGCCTCATCTAAACCGTCAGAGATGTCCCCTATCTCCAGGAAAGGAAATCAAGACAAAGAAGGGAGCAGCGGCATCAGAGCCCTGAGTCAAGATCCTTCAAGTACTAACCCTAACAAGAGACATGCTGAGCCCGTATGAAGGAAGCATCAGAACTTAAAAAGAGGTATGAAAGAGGCTTGAATAGTGGAAAGGAATACCATGCCGTCAGGTGAGAAAGCTAAATATTAAGACATGGATTTTTCCAAATTAATTCTTATACTTACTGTAATCCCAATCAGAATACCAATGATATAGAGACAGAAAGCACGTTAGTGGTTGCCTGGGTCTGGGGGTGGGGACACGGGTAAGCTGCAAAAAGGAACAGGGATCTTTTTGGGCTGATGGAAATGTTCGAAAATGGGATTGTGGTAATGCCTGCATAACTGTAAGTTGTGTATATTAAATTGCACATTTGAACTAGGTGAATGTTATAGTATATATATGACATCCCAATAATGCAGATTAAAATATATATCTAGCGAGTTTTACTAAAAGATCGTTCCAAATGCAAATTGCACTTGTTTTCCAAGATTTAATAGGCTTTTGATCTTGTTAAAAACAGCTTACCACTTTTTTTTTTTTAATTTTCTTTTTTCAACGTTTTTTTTATTTATTTTTGGGACAGAGAGAGACACAGCATGAACGGAGGAGGGGCAGAGAGAGAGGGAGACACAGAATCGGAAACGGGCTCCAGGCTCTGAGCCATCAGCCCAGAGCCCGATGTGGGGCTCGAACTCACGGACCGCGAGATCGTGACCTGGCTGAAGTCGGACGCTTAACCGACTGCGCCACCCAGGCGCCCCTACTTTTTTAAATGTGATTTAAAAAAAAAAAAAAAGGTAAATATAGAGGTACCAAAAAACTAGTATGTGGGAATTTAAAGAATTTCAAATAGTGATTGTATAGTTTTCCTAGAGGAATAAACAAGAGAGAATAGCTAAGAAAATTTTAAAAGAAGTCTAAGAGGGTTGCTTTGCCAGAAATTAAAGCTACGATCATTCAAACAAGGTCATTCTGTTGTAAGAATCAACAAACACATTAACAGATTAAGATGAGTATATATACAGGAACCAAAATCGGCCTTAATGTGTATAAAAATTAGTATGTCAAGAAAGAATCACAAACATTAATAGCTAAGAATTAAATATTCCACAAATGATACTAGGGGAATTACCTACTTGCTAACTAAAAGTCGAGCTGGAAACTGATGCTATGTTATATACTCAAATCAATTCCGGGTTAATTTAAAAGTCAAATGAAGACATTCAAAAAACAAAAAATTACTTAAAATGTAGACGAATACTTAATGAACCTTAGAACAGGGAAGGAATGCATAACCTATGAAAGAAATTGTTAAAATATCCATATTGTGGCACATTATTGCAACCATTAAAGTTTTCTGGATAATTTTTAGAAACCATGAGAAGATGCTCATGAAATACTGAGAAGTGAAGAAACCAGGTTATAAAACTGACTCAGAAGAACAGCACACATTACATTTTAAAAACAATAAAACTACATATACAGAAAGGTTGGTACATACACCAAGAGGCTTCTGGGTGGTAGAACTATAGGTGAATTGTTACTTTCTCCATCAAACTTGTAGGGCTCCCCCCTCCCCATATTTTTCACCATGACCGTGGGTTTCTTTCATAATCAGAAAAATAAGGGTTTTTTTTTTCAGACTTGGGAGAATAAGAATATGAAAAAACATGGGGCGCCTGGGTGGCTCAGTCGGTTAAGCAACCGACTTTGGCTCAGGTCACGATCTTGCAGTTCATGGATTTGAGCCCCGCATGGGGTTCTGTGCAGACAGCTTGGAGCCTGGAGCCTGCTTGGGATTCTGTGTCTCCCTCTCTCTCTCTCTCTGCCCCTCCCCAGCTCATGCTCTCTCTCTCTCTCAAAAATAAACACACATAAAAACAAACAAAAAGAATATGAAAAAACAATCAAATTTGGCCACTAAAAAGCAGCAGCTTCAACATGCACATAGATGTTAAATGTGTTTCTCACATGTGTGATCTATTTCACAAATTTTTAAAGCACAGAAGAATGAAAGACACACAAGCATTTTGTGGGAACAGTGGGACTGGTGCACCTGTCCCTCCTGAGAGGCAAGGAGGGCCCTGCCAGGAGGTGCAGCCGGCCCGGCTGTGGCGTCCCCACCCCTGTGGGCAGGGAGGCCACCTTCACTCAGACTTGGCTGCGGGCCTGGTCACTTCCCAAATGAGCTCCCTCGGGGCCCATGAGGGCCATCCCTGCGGCAAGGCCCTCCTGTCCAGCCTGAGGACTGTCAGGCACACAGAGTAGCCCTGGCTGGGCCACTAGGAAGTCACCACACCGGCTGCCAACATCTCCAGAGACCAAGCGTGAGGGGTGAGTCATGAACAGACTGAGTCTGGTTTGAGGTTCACTCCACCCCCAAACCCTCTGAACTACTGTCCCCACAGACTCACTCAGCACCACTGGAAGAAAACCAGTTCCCCTGATCACCCTTAAAACTGATCTCTCCCTGGGGTGCCTCGGTGGTTCAGTCTGTTGGGCATCTGACTCTCGATTTCAGCTCAGGTCATGATCTCACGCTTCATGAGTTCGAGCCCGAGTCAGGCTCTGCGCTGACAGCATAGAGCCTGCTTGAGATTCTCTCTCTCCCTCTCTCTCTCTGCCCCTCCCATGCACTCTCTCTCTCTCAAAATAAATAAATAACTTTAAAAAAAACAAACCTGTCTCTCCCTCCTTTCCCGATGGAAGTTCTCTCCATGGGAAAGGC